GGCCTCATTTCTAAAATATATAGAGAATTAAGTCAAATTTATAAGAATATAAGTCATTCCCCAATTGATAAATGGTCAAAGGATATGAACAGGCAGTTCTTAGATGAAGAAATTAAAGTCATCTATAGTTATATGAAAAAAAGCTCTAAACCACTATCGATGAGAGTAATGCAAATCAAAACAACTCTGAGGTACCACATCACACCTATCAGATTGGCCAACATGATGAAACAGGAAAATGATAAATGTTGGAGAAGATGTGGGGAAATTGGAACACTAATGCATTGTTGGTGGAGTTGTGAAATGATCTAACCATTTGGAGAGCAATTTGGAGCTATGACCAAAGGGCTATAAAAATGTGCATACCCTTTGACCCAGCAGTAGCACTTCTAGGGCTATATCCCAAAGAGATCATACAAATGGGAAAAGGACCCACATGTATAAAAATATTCATAGCAGCTCTTTTTGTGGTGGCAAAGAATTGGAAATTGAGAGGATGCCCACCAATTAGGGAATAGCTGAACAAGTTGTAGTATATGAAAGTAATGGAATACTATTGTGCTATAAGAAATGATGAACAGGCTGACTTCAGAAAAACCTGGAAAGACTTGTATGGTCTGATGCTGAGTGAAGTGAGCAGAACCAAGAGAACATTGTACACAGTAACAGCCACTTTGTGCGATGACTAATATTGATAAACTTAACCCTTCCTAGCAATACAAGGATCTAAGACATCTCCAAAGGCCTCATGATGGAAAATGCTATCCACATCCAAAGAAAGAGCTATGGAATTTGAATGCACACAGAAGCATACTGTTTGATATTTTTTTTTCTCTTCTGTTGAGTTTTGTTTCCCCTTTCTGGTGGTTCCACCTATTGTTTCTCATTTTTACTTACAACATCACTAATCTGAAAATAAGTTCAATAACAATGTATATATATAGCCTATATCAGATTGTGTGCCATCTTGGGGAGGGTGGTGGGGAGAAAGGGGGAGAAAAATTTTAAACTCAAAAGCATATGGAAGGAATTATTGATAAATCAAAATAAATTAATAAAAATAAAAAAATTTTCCTGTACAAATAGAACCAATATAGCCAAGAATAGAGGGAATGCAGAAAAATTGAAGAAAAAAACTCTCATAGACAATCTCCCAGATAGAATGTGGTTAGGTCAGAATATTGTTGTGGGTGTAGGAAATGATGAGCTGGTGAATTTAGAAAATATGGAAAGACTTGAACCTATGAAGGAAGATTCTATCCACCTATAGAAAAGCAGATGACAAATGGAAATATGGTCTTATATATATAGGTGTGTTTGACTGTATATGTGTATATATGTGTATGGATATGGATATCTATGTGTAGGTATGTGTGTATATGAATATATGTGTGTATGTATATGTGTGTGTGCACACAAATACACACATATAAATATATCCATACTTAATTGTAGCTTTCTTGGGCGAGGGGAGAAAGGGGAAAAAATTAAGTAAAAAGTGCACAGCAGAGGACAAAAGAAAACATACAAGGAAGCAGAGAAAAGCACAGCTTTGAAAATAATATGCAGTATTTATTATATAGATTTTCTTGAAATGGAAATGTATTGCTTTATATTGAATCCTCTTTTGTTCTGCTGTGTACATGGTAATGTTTTCTTTCTTTTCTTATTTTATATTTAAGTTTAAATTCCAATATAATGAAAAAGGGACAGCTAGTTGGTACAGTGGACAGAGCACCAGCCCTGGAGTCAGGATGACCTGGGTTCAAATCCGGCCTCAGACACATAACACTCACTAGCTGTGTGATTCTGGGCAAGTCACTTAACCCCAATTGTCTCACCAAAAAAAAAATTACATACATATGTATATATAAATATATAAATGTATAAATATATACATGTATACATATATATATACATTATATATAGAGAGAGGAATAAAGATAATATTTACCATTTCAAAAAAAGCTATAGGTGACAGTAAAGACTATCACAGGACTCAAGATAGACAAGTGTTCTTTTTCTTTATTTTGAAAAAAAGAAGAGTTCAAATTATATATGGGATATTACATTCTTGAGTACGTAAATGTAGATACTATTGTGCTATAAGAAATTACAAGAAGGATGCTCTCAGAAAAATCTGGAAAAACTTAAATGAACCAAGGCAAAGTGAAATGAGTAAAACCAGAACATTTTACACAGTAACAGCAATATTGTATGATGATCTACAGGGAATAACTTAGCTATTCTCAGCAATACAATGATCCAAGACACTTCTAAACGACTTATAATGAAAGGTGCTGTGCATCTTCAGAGAAAAAACTGGTGGAACCTGAATGCAGATTGAAGATACTTTTTCTTTATTTTTCTTGGAGGTTTTTGTCTGTGTTTTCTTTCACAGCATTACTGAAATGGAATTGTGTTTTGCATGACTACACATGTATAACCTATGTCAAATTGTTTGCCTTCTAAATAAGGGTGGAGGAGAGGAGGGAAAGAATTTGGAACCCAATTTTTTTTTTTTTGCTTTTTGGTGGGCAATTGGGGTTAAGTGACTTGCCTAGGGTCACACAGCTAGTAAGTGTCAAGTATCTGAGGCTGGATTTGAACTCAGGTCCTCCTGACTCTTAGGCCATTGCTCTATCCACTGCACCACCTAGCTGCCCCTGGAACTCAAAATTTGAAAAAAAAATGTTAAAATTGTTTATACATGTAATTGGGAAAAAGTAATATGTTAAATAAAAAAGAATTTGATAACAAATAGGTGCTTATTGCTTGGGAAATGACTGAACAACTTGAGTATGTAAATGTAATAATGTATCATTATGCTATAAGAAACAGTAAATATGATAAAGCTGGAGAAGCATGGAAGGACTTAAATTAACTGATGAAAAATAAAATGAGCAGAGCCAAGAATCCAACATACAAAATGACTGCAGGTATATAACTGCAAAAAGAACAAAACAAAATGGGATTCTGTTATATCATAATGATCAAGCTTTTCCCCCAATAATACACAAGAGAAAACATATACCTATTCTTTGCAGAGCTGATGGACTATGGATATGTAAAACTACATATTTTAGACTTTCCTAATGTGATGGTTAGTTTTGCTGACCTGTTTTTTTTCTTCTTTATTATGAAAGATGGCTTGTTGAGAAAAAAAAAGAAGATATAGTGAGAAAGGTAAATAATTTAAAAGTAAATATTATCACTAGAAATATCTTTTTAAAATCTAAATACTTAGACCTTAACATCTAATTAGATTTCCCTCAAGGAGATGAACTATAGAAATAATAATCAAAACAGTAACAATAATAATAATATTTCCCACATATTTCATAATATTTATAGCAGTGTTTTTTGTGGCAGAAAAGAACTTGAAACAAAGTAGATGCCTTGTAATAGTTAAATTAATTAAAATTTATGAATATAATGGAATATTACTGTACCCTAAAAAATACAAATAGGAATTTAGAAAAAGAAGGAAGATCTATATGAACTGATAGAAGATTTATAAGCAGGACTATAAAAACAACATTACCAGTGACTATGTGAAAAGAAAAAGATTTATTTAAAAATGGTGAATGCAGTGCAATTATAATGACCAAATAGCCTGAGAGAATAGCTAAGAAAATTTGCCTTCCTCCCCTAGTAGCACAATCACAGGACTACATCTTAGGGCTATTCCATGTACTATCCAACATGATTGTGATGTTAGTTGGTTTTGCTAAAAAGCTCCCCTCCCAACCCACTCACTTTGTTACAAAGGATTGCCCAAATGACAGAGGAAAAGGTACATTTAATCATAAATATAGGTCAGAGGTGTCAAATACAGAGTGCACAGGCCATTTGTGGCCTGGAACTTCCCAAATGCCACTAGAATGAGATTAAAGTATAATTGGGAAATATGTAATAAAATAAATACAAGTACAATGTTCTATTGTACTTGTTAACTGTTAACTGTTAACTGTACTTGTTAACAGTTAACTTTTCCTGTACTGTTCAATTATGTCTGACTCTTCATTACACTATTTGGGTTTTCTTCAAAAACATACTGGAGTGGTTTGCCATTTCCTTCTCCAGTTCATTTTCAGATGAGGAATTGAGGCAAATAGGGTTAAGAGACTTGCCCAGGATCACACAGCTAGTAATTGTCTGAGGGCAGATTTGAACTCATGAAAATGAGTTTTCCTGACTTCAGCCCAAGCATTCCATCTAATGCCCCAGTAAGCTGCTCGCAGGGATCCCTATGTATTAATAGTCCCCATTTTAATTTGACTTTGACATCACTGATGTAACTAGCATATGTGTATGTGTGTATACATATATATATATATACACATATATACTAACATATATAAACTAGCATATCTGTATACATATATGTACATATACCCACAGACATGTATATATATATACATATATGTACACACATATAAATATATATCAATAAAATAACAAAAAATACTGTATATTCAGCAGAAAACACATCCCTACAAATACAGTCATTCCATGAGAAAGTATAATGGCACTATAGCTTTACAAGTTCTGAACACTGCATTTCTATTAAAAACAATCAATATAAAGTTAGTTTTTTTTGTTTGTTTTGTGAGTGGATCACCTCCCAAAGGTAATCTGTTGAATCTTTTCTTATTCTTAGGAGTGCTTACTTCATATGTATCTCTGTCCCCAAAAGTTCAGTATAGGATATTCAATTGCTATGATAATGCCATGCTAATTAGACTATTTCTTAAGTGTTCCAGACTAGCATGATTCCACTCACATCTCCAGAGGGGTAAATTTATCATCTCTACATTTCTCCCTTTACTTCAGACCTAAGGCAGGTATATAATATGTAACCATACTATGTATCTATAACAATGTAAATATGTATCACTGCCTCCTAATCCTGATGATAAGAGTCCGGTTTTTCCAAGAGCTTAAAGACTAAGATTGGAAGAGTGAGATAATGTCATATTCAATGAGAGGTGAGAGAATCAGGTTCTGCACAATGGTCTCCTGTGGGCTGCATTCCAGAATGCCCTCTTCACATCTTTGTTCCTCAAGCTATATATAAGGGGATTAAGCATAGGGTTTATCACAGCATAGAATACAGATACCATCTTCCCTAGTTCCTGTGAAGACTTAGGTGTCATGTAGCTGATGATTGCTGATTCATAGAAAAGGATGACCACAATGAGATGGGAGCTACAGGTGGAGAAGGCTTTCAGTCTCCCAGAGACTGTCTTCATTTTGACCACAGACACTATGATAAATATATATGAGATCAGGATCAGAAGCATTGGTGTAACTATAATCACCACACCCACAAGGAAAATGACCATCTCTGTTCTGTGAGTGTCTGCAGATGCCACAACCAGAAGAGCTGGGGCCTCACAGAAGTAATGAGAAATTTTTTTGTTTCCCTGGTAAGGGAGGGTTAGTACAAATGTATTGTCCACCAAGGATACAACAAAGCCACTGCACCAGCACCCTAAGGCCATGAAAATACACATTCTCCATGTCATGATGAGGGGATAGTGCATGGGATCACAGATTGCCAAGTACCGGTCATAAGACATCACAGCTAATAAGGCACACTCTGTACATCCAAAGAACAGGAAGAGAAAAAGTTGAGCTGCACAGCCTATGAAAGAAATGAATTTCTTGCTAGATAACATGTGGATTAGGGTTTGGGGAACAGTGGTAGTTGAGAAGCAGAGGTCAGAAAAAGATAAGTTACAGAGGAAAAAATACATAGGTGTATGGAGCTGTGAGTCAAGCAGAATCAGGGATGTGAGAAGCAGGTTTCCAAGTATGGTGCCCAAGTAGACTGCCAGGAACAACACAAAGAGTAGCAGCCGAGTCGGAGGGTCATCAGAAAGTCCCAAGAGGAAGAATTCTGTCACCCAGGTCTGGTTGGTCTGGTTCATGTTCGCTTTCCTTCTTTACAAAGGAGTCCAGAGATATGGGTTGTTGAGATGTTGCCTAGAGAATCATAGAACCTAAGTTCAGGAAGGACCTTAAAAGTTACCTAGTGCAACCTTTAACCATCGCTAGCTTCCTTGATGTGTGGTAATTTAACATATCTATTGAAAGTAATGCCCTATATCACAAGGAACACATTCTATTTTGGAGACAGTAGTTTAAAAAATGCTTCCCTAAATTGAGCTAAAATCTTCTACCCTATATAGTCACTTCTGCTAAAACTCACAAATGTGTCCTAAAACACACCAAACTATAAAAAAATCACATGATCAAAAGAATGGGACTTATGCTTTTACTTGGGGTGGGGGGGAATACAGTTAGGGCTACAACACTCCAAACTTTCATCAGTTATATAAAAAAAATAGTAAACTAATAAAAACACAATAGCATAGTTTAAAATAACAATAGCATAAAATAAGCTAACAGTAGCATATATATGCTAAATGATCAAAATACAAAATACTACAATGTATAATGACAGTTTTTCTTTTTGCAAGTTTCTAAAAAGACTGTACCCTGGGCCATGGGTAGGAACATGGAAGGACTGGGGCAAAACGTGTGGGTGAGGGCCAGTACTTTACAATCCACTTGTCCTCCTGAAGCAGAAGATATAAAACTAACATGGTGCTTTACCTAGAAGTTTGTTTGAAAAAGACCTAGATTTTGCTAGCTGAAGTGTGTGCCAACATGGTTTTTGCAATTTATTTTGAAGTGATTGTTTTCTGTGTACTTGATGAAATTGTGCGTAAGCAAATGTGAAATTCTCAAATTGCTCCCTAATATAATACTTTGGATATGATAATTTCTGTGCATTGATCTCTCTTACATCCCCTAGAGCAACACAAACTAAATCCAATTCCAGAGCTCCAGAGGTCAAGAACTGAGCCCAATAATCTATATCTAGTCTGATTATCACACAATTCAATATATTTTAGCTGATTTGATCATCAATGATAAGACATTTAAGGGAGATATTTGCTAGATGCCTTTGAATCTCTTCTCAGGGCCAGACTTACTCTTGAAAACAAAATGGGTCAATAGTCTTCATATCTCTGACCTTGTCCATCACAGCATCATTCAAGCTATGCAGTTGATTAATATAGCCCCAGAGAGAAGTACGTGAGTTCTGAGATCAGTTTTCACTGGTATCCATGCCTAAAGTCTCTCTTCTCTCCAATTTGTCTTTCACACTGGCTATCAAAGTCATATTCCTAGAGGACCAGTCTGACCATATCTTCTGCTCAATAAATTCCAGTAGCTCCCTCAAATAGACATTCCAATATTTCTCACTTAAAATCCTTCACGACCAATTTCCACCTATGTTCCCAGGCTTGTTATATATTACCCTCCAACAGGAAATCGATGAGTAATCAGATTGTAGTTCTTGCTGTTCCTCACACATGATGTTCATCTCCCAGCTTCCATCTTTGCACAAAATATCTTCCATGCCAAGATTGCACTCCCTACTCTCCCGCATTTCTAAGAACCCTCAGATTTCCTCAAAACTTAGCTTAAATGCCACCTTTTACATGAAATGTACCTGAGAAAATTTGGGGGGCCCTGAAGAGGACAGCATTAGAGATCCATGCCAGCACCCAAACCTACAGGTGCACACTGAAACTTGCTGACATCCACCATAGTTGAATGGCCCAAGGATTGAACACATAATTTCTTCCTTGTTGATGTTATCTTTCTAATTCTAGTATGAGGTATGTTTGTTGTTTCCTGAGTGGTGCTAGGGGATTAACTCCCTTAGGAATCAGGGTTTGCCTATCTCTGGTCATACACCTGAAAATGATAATTCCATTTCGTACTAGCTATCATCACAAAATGAAAAGATGAAATGGGTCCCTCAATATCTTTCCCCCAACTCATGAAAGTGTGTACTTGTACAGTGTTCATAAAACCCATCTGCATTAGAAAAAGACATTCTGACATACAAGCCATTACCCCAACCTTATTCCATGTCGTTTCCTGAGAACCTAGTGTTGCTGAGGTGCGAAAGAGATTCAACAGGGAAGTCTCCTGTGCGGATTTATTTCCAAAGGAAAGCATTGGCAAATCAGATATGGTTGACAAAGGCTATTGAAACAAAGAGAAAAAGACATAAAAATTCTAAATCCAAATCTACGCAAAAAATCCCATATCTAAGCATGCATCTTTAAGTAACCCCTTAGGATTTCTCTCTTCTCTATCTATTACCTCACATTCTTACCTGAAAGACAGAAAACACTAGGAAAGGATCTCATAGTCAGAAAGATACTCCAAATAGGGAACATTGAACAGCTGTATGAAAAATAGCTGCTAGGTTAGGGAGATGGAAACTTCAGGTAACAAATACTAAAGCATTGAGTTTTCATCCAATCTTTATTCCTTGACAGGAACAGGGTTTGGAAGAGAAGGGGAAGAGTGATGAAGTGGATTAAATCCTCCCTTCCCCCAAACAAGTCTCCTTGGTGGTTCTGAGGAATTGCTTTATAAACAAGGACTGTTTCTATGAAGACAAACCTAGTTACATGGTCTGTAGTGTAGGGATGGTCTCTGGAGCATTTCACATGCTCCAGGGGATAGACCAGGAAGAGAATGTTTCTTTTCAGTGCAGTTCTTTCTTGGGTAGAAACAAGAAATACCTTTTATTCCAAGTAATTAAAATGTAAATCTTTAGCTCCAAACTTTCAATCTAGTCTTTTCTCCCATTCCATTCTCCCATTCCAACCTTCTCTTCAGCAATACTGGTAGTTGTATCAATGTGTGATTGAGTGTCCAGATGAGGAGCCTATACATTTTTGGCAAGCTTTAAGAAATGTGATTGTTAGCTTATGGGAAGAACATGTGAGATTTTTAGCCTTTATTTCTGGATTTGTTTTACCAAGAAATAAATGTCAGTTCAATGCTCAACAGCATATTAACTAATGGAATGTTATGACCCGAGTGCCTGGTTACGTTAAGATATTTTGAATCATAAGTTAGAAATGAAGTAGCTTAGACTTGGAGACACACAGGTCATCTAGATCAAATGAAAATATAAATCCTGTCTCCGTCTCTTACAAACTGGTCTGCTTTCCTTTTCCTTCACCTAATATTTCATATTCTGCCTTCATGCTTTTGCCTTTTGACTCTCCTCCATCCTTAAAATGACTCCTCATCAGATTTTGGAATCACTAGTTCTACTCCAGACTCAACTAAAGTGCTACCTCCATCAAGAGGTCTTCCTGATCATCCCTATTTGTTAGTAATCCCCGTATTAGTATGTATTTTTTTGCCATATATCCCTTAAGTATTTTTCTGTAAAATCTGAGAAGTTATATCCTCCTAGTATAATATCAGATCTTCAAGGACAGGCTACTCACATTTGTATTTCTATCTCCAATTCTTGCTTTGAATATTCTAGTTACTTCATCCATGCTTCTTGATTGACTGATTGACTCATACATGTTGATCCAGGCTATGCTTGAAGACCTTCAGTGATAGGAAATTCATCACTTTATGTGACAACTCAGTTAATCATTGAACATTATTGGATTTTGTTCTTATATTGAGCTAAAGTCTTCTTCCATGTGACTTTCACTTTATCAAAAGCTTCTGCATCTATTGATATGATCATATGATTTTTTTTACTTTTATTATTGATACAATCAACTATGTTAATAGTTTTCCTTATGTTAAACCATCCGTACATTGGTGGTATAAATTCCACTTGATCTTAATGTATAGTCTTTGTAACACATTGTTGTAACCTTTTAACTAGTACTTTATTTAGACTTCTTGCATCCATATTCATTAATGAAATTGATCTATAATTTTCTTTCTCTGTTTTTACTCTTCCTGATTTAAGTATCAGCGCCATATTTGTTTCAGAAAAAGAGTTTGGTATAATCCCTTCTTTGCCTCTTATTCAAGACAATTTATTTAATATTGGAATTAGTTGATCTTTAAAAGTTTAATAGAATTCACTTGTAACTTCATCTGGTCCTGGTGCTCTTTTTTCTTGGGAAGCTCATTAATGACCTATTTAATTTCTTACTCTAAAATAGGTCTATTTAGATATTCTATTTCCTCTTCTGTTAATCTAAGTAATTTTTATTTTTCTAAATATTTTTCCATTTCACTTCAATTGTTAAACTTATTGTCATTTAATTAGGCAAAAGAACTCCTTATAATTGCTTTAATTTCATCTTTGCTAGTATATTCACCCTTATCATTTTTTGACATTTAGTGATTTGGTTTTCTTCTCTCTTTTTTATCCAGGGGTCCTAGTTCTGCATTCTGCCATAGTGATCACTAGAGCAGAGTGAACAGGACTTACTTTGCTCCAGAGTAGCAACACTACAGTGCTACATGCTTCTTTTGACCACCTTATCTCACAGTCCCTCACAGGCCCACACCCCTCAACAATTTTCCCTAAGCTGCTATCCACAGGGTCTTTTCCATCTCATACCCCATTCCCAGCAGATATCTTCCTCCACAAGAGAAACTGGACTCTTAAGGAAATCAAGTTGCTCCCCTTCAGAGAATCCCCAAATTTTAAATTTTGTGACAACTCGGCAGTCATTTAGTCCAACCCATATCTAAAAAGAATTCATACTGTAACTTAACTGTCAAGTGGTCATTCAATCTCTGCTTGAAGACCAATTATTAGGTATGATTTAGTTGGAAAAGCTTCTGGGAGAAGTGAAATTGGGTAAAAAGAAAAGGACTTAAGCAAATAAGAGATGATAGTTGAGAATTAAAGATTTAACTAGGCATTTAGGGTTGAGATGGAAACACCTACAAGGAATTATCTTATTTTTTAAGTTGAAAAACTCAACCAGGATGGAGTGTAGAGGGGCAGCTAGATGGCTCAGTGGATAGAGCACCAGCCCTGAAGTCAGGAGGACCTGAGTTCAAATCCACCCTCAGACCAATCACTTGACACTTACTAGCTATGTGACCCTGGGCAAGTCAC